GCTAACCGATTCAGACAGGGCTAGGAGAACTAGCAAGGAGGACGAAGAGAGACGCTCAGAGACTCTTGAGGAGTGTCACGGGTGAACTGCAGATCTAGAGAGGCACGACCTTGTTGGCCGATCCCGAAGGAGAGGTTTACTTAGACACAGGGATTCTTGGGATAGAGGAATAACACGAGATCTGCGGCGGGTGCGGGTTGCTGGAGGTGGTAATCAAGGCAATTGAGAGCTAAGTTTGGAGGCAGACGCGAGCCGTGACAAGGAAACAGGTCCGGGCTGCCGCAACTGTTACAGGTCCGGGCTGCAGCGACTGTCATAGGGTCGGGTTGTAACAGTTGGCAAGGAAACCTAACTGCGTCTTCACACGGTCCAATGGAACCCGACACGATGGGGCCACAACCGACCGTAGGCGAAGCCGGAGAGGAGTATATGACATCGCCCGACCGAGCTCTGAGAGAACTGAAGGAACGATTTAGGCAAGAAGCACCGGTGAGATGGGATGACCAAACCAATGACGGAGGGCCCAACGTAAGAGGCGAACCAGTTGCGACAGAGTCGCAGGAGGCTCTAAAGACGGGTACCTTGAGCGGACGACGAGAAACGACGAGACGACGCTCCCCCGAGTAGGAGCGGAGGGACACCATAGCGGATAGGCACAGAGACGACTGGAGTGAGAGTTTGAGGGATTCCTGTTGGAGGGACATAGATAAAGACAGGGCGCCGCCTAGGCGAGTCTTCGACCCCCAGACAGGGGAGTCACATCCGCTCCCTTACGAGAGCAAGGATCGCTATATTATTACGCACAAGGCCTCAGAGCCTCCTACCTTCAGGGGTTATGGTATTATAAAATATCTGGAGAAGTGGGAGCTTCACGCCAGCCGGAGTCAGTGCTCGGAGGAAGAGATTATAGAGAACTTCCTATTTAATGTGGACCCAAGTATTGGAAGGGAAGTTAAGGAATTTCGACCGAAGGATGAAAATGGACTACGTACAAGAAGAACCTCGTTGAGCTTTACAAATTGGAGAATGACAAGTATTTCATTAAGGACCTTGAAACAATGACTCAAGATGAAGATGAGAGCGTACGGGCATTTGGGATGCGTTTCCAAAAGATCTCCGACGTGCTGATGAAGAAGGGGAAAATCTCAGAGGTCGAGCGCTGTACTATCTTCATCGGACACTTGTCCAAAGGTAGGCAAAAGAGTATGCTTAGAAATCTTCCGCGCGACAGGCTTGATTTCCCAGAAGTTCTAAAGCTCGCGATAAAGGCAGAGGCAGACGATTACAAGGACTTGGTGCGGAGAGGGATGAGGAGACGTGACTTCTCTCTCTACAAGGAGTATGTCACTGATAGATGTCCTGATTTCAAGGACTATCCCTGGTCGGAGAAGAATGAGGCCGTGGCTGAGGAAGTGAAGGAGATACGGGACATGGTGAAGGGATTAACGAGACAGGCTACAGAGATTGTGACCGCTACAGGGGCCACGGCCTACCGGGACAAACCTGGAGGGCCCTATTCACTTCGCTGGGACCGTAGGAACAACGATCCCTGGAGAAGTGTCGAGGATAGAAATCCTCGGACGCTGACTAATTATCGTACGAGGGGAAGAGAGAGAGACGATGAGCCATGGCGACGTAGGGATGATGAGATAGACCGRGACCGTAGAGATCGCGAGCCGTTTGTGCGAGCTAGGAGGTTGGATGATTACCCGCGAAGCCCTCGCTATGAGGCCGATCGGGGGAGAGGCGACTCCCGCGGCCGATGGGAGACAGAAGAGAGCCGACGAGATGGATATAGGGACGAAAAATATGAGAGATCGGACCGAGATGAATATAGGGACGACAGATACGAGAGGTCGGGTCGAGATGGCTACAGAGGAAGTAGATATGAGAGAGGAGATCAGGAATGGGAACGACAAAATGGGTCGCGCGGACGGTTTGAGCGCGGGGGAGATGCGAGAGAGCACCGCGACGAGTCGCGGGGGTGGTACAACCGAGGGGACCGACGCGATGAGTCACGAGGACGATATAACTCGGGGGACCGCCGTGATGATTCGCGAGGGCGGTATGACCAAGGAGGGTTTGGAGGAGACTGGCGCAACGATCTGCGCGGTCGGAATGAGAGAGGGGGATATGGCGTCTCATCAGAACCATATCCTAAGTCGTCTGACCCCAAGGCGGCCAGGAAATCGATCTCTAGAGGCGCAGACGACAGGGCATCTACTCCGAGGAACTCATGCGTCTACTGTAGAGGAGAAGATCATATCAAGAGGGATTGCCCGGACCTCAAACGGGCAATAGAATAGGGATTTGTCGTGCTTGACGACCGCAAGTACGTCTAGTGGGCAGATGATCTCGGAGATGTATCGATGTTCCCTTCGATGAAGGAAAATGTCGAAGCAAGGAGAATAAAGACGAGTAAAGGAATGAAGCCGGTCAGGAGCCAGAGCATCAAGATAACCTTTGAGGGGGACATGGAGACCACACCCATAAGGGTGGCAGCCACCAAGTCGGCGATAGGGTCTACATCGAAGAAAACTGACACGGATTACGTGATGGCGGAGAAGGACGGGCAGCGGGTCGATGGAGAGGAGGTTATCCTTTCGGCGCGAAAGCGAGGAGTGAAGAAGTTTTTAATGAAGAGTTCGCTGGACGAGATTGACACGGTCGAGCCACTGAGGCGGGCCCTTCGGCAACCCATGCAGTGCTCTATTCTGGAGTACCTGGCGGCATCGAAGCCAACTTGTGATGAGTTACAGATGATCACGCGGAAGACTCGCATACCTCTATCGGAGGAGGGTCAGGGGGCCCCTAAGGCGGAAACTTCTACAGTAGCAGTAACGGGGGTGACTGCCAGAGCGGATCGCATGGCGACAGTCCTTCTCGATGGAATGGAAGGTGTGCCTCCAGACAAGTTTTATATACTTGGTAGCGGGGCCGTGGAGACGATTATAAACGATGGAGCGGTACTCGATACTGTGATTGATAACGACAGTGAGGCTGTCATCATAGACGAGGACCTGGCGGTACAACTTGGACTGGGCCTCGATAGGTCATACCTATTCGAGATAGAGACAGTCGATGGGAGAAAGCAACAGATCACTGGGGTTTGTCACAAGGCAGCCATAGAGGTCCAAGGGATACGAGTGACCCTGCCAGTCTTTGCAGTCAAGAACTGCAGCTCCGACCTGCTCTTGGGTAGAACGTGGCTGAGCCACGTGCATGCGGTGACGATAGAGCGACCTGATGAGAGTCAAACATTGTCCATTAAGAAACCAGACGGGACGCGGGTAATGATTGAGACAGTGGAGCCTCGGGCCCGAGGAACAGAGCAAGACCCAGTGATCAGATTAAGTCGTTGCCTATCTCCAGCCGCGCGGTGCGATTTCGCGAGAAGAAATATGGACCACTGCTCACAGAGGAAGAAGGTCAGATGGTGGAGGTCGAAGACTTAGGGAGTCGGCTAATAGTGGACGGCAACTCGTACCCGAAGGAAAAAAATGAGGAATTTGACGGTGTGGTATCTGTGTCTTTTTTAAGGGCACAGCCCCCTATGGAGGGCTACCCAAGCGACACAAACGAGCAGCACAAAAAGTTAAGCCAGCGGCGGTGGGCCGCGAGCGATCTGCACAAGAAGGGATATCGGAAGAAGAGATCGCAAAATAAATCAAAGAAAGAAAGAAAAACGAGCCGCAACGCCTAACGGAAGAGAGGATAGCAGGGATGGACATCGGAGATGGAAATTTGACCCCACAGGAGCGAGCACGTGTGATAGAAATTCTGAAGAGATGTGATAAGGCCATAGCTTTCAGCGACGTGGAGCGTGGTAGAATTGACCCTCGATACGCTAATCCAGCGAGGATTTATACGATTCCACATGTTCCTTGGAATGACGCGGGATGGAGATACGCCCAGAAGGAGAAGGAAGAAGTTATCGCTTTCCTGAAAGAAAAGATGGTTTCCCACGTTGCGAAGCCGTCTGATAGCGTTTATGCTAATCGATGGTTCTTCCTACGAAAGCCGAATGGCAAGATTCGATGGATCCAGGACCTTCGGAAAGTCAACGCGGTGACGATACGAGACGTGGGCTCCGTGCCACACGCCGATTTACTGGCAGAAGGCGCAGCAGGTAGGTCGATCTATTCGGTCTGTGATCTGTTCTCAGGCTATGATGAGGTACCGCTTGATCCTAGGGATAGACACCTCACGGCTATGCATACGCCATTGTGACTAATTCAAATGATGGTTGTCCCAATGGGTTGGACTAATGGGGTAGCCGTTTTTAAGAGAGTCATGGTAGTCGTCCTCAAGGACTTCATCCCTGATAAGGTCGAAGTTTTTCTGGATGACTTTCCTATTAAAGGGCCAGTAGACAGGGATGAGACAGAGGTTGTACCTGGAGTTAGGAGATTCGTCGAGCAGCACCTAACAGATATTTGCGCGGTCCTCGAGCAGCTGGACGATGCGAATTTAACAGTCAGCGGAACAAAGAGCCGATRKGTCGTCTCGACTATTAAGATCTTGGGCTTTATCTGTGACTCGAGAAGACGCCGAGCAGATCCGGCAAAGTTAGACAAACTCCTGAACTGACCGTCACCGTTGCATAGCCCAACCGAGGTCCGACAGTTTCTGGGAGTGGTCGGTTACTGGCGTATATTCATACGGGGGTATGCGGAGAAGGCTGAGCCATTGAGGTTACTCCTTCGAAAGACTGAGAACTTCTATTGGAATTCTTCGCAGGAACTTGCTATGMAAGAACTTAAAGACGAATTTAAGGAAGGAGGACGCGTGTTGGGTGTGCCATTCTTTGACGATGAGACCGAGAGACCCTTCATAGTATCCACGGRTGCTGGACCAKGTTCAKTGGGTGGTTTGCTGTCTCAGAAGGACGCTGGAGGGAAGGAAAGACCGTTAAGATTTGAGAGTCTGACACTTAATACGGCTGAGCGTAACTACAGTCAATTCAAGAAGGAAGTGTTAGCTCTTCTCCGGTGTCTAGACACGTTCAAACACTATATCTATGGGCGACGGTTCATCTTGAGAGTAGACCCCACCGCAAATGCCTCTGTCCTCCAGAAGGACTTTAGTCTAACGGAGCCGACCATCGCCTGATGGTTAATACGAATTCGGCTATACGATTACACGGTCGAGAGAATATCTGGTACTCAAAATGCTGTGGCAGATGGACTTTCACGCATCCCTCTCGAGCGTCCGATAGAAGATGGGGCTCTGACAATGGCAGAGCCGAGACGCGCCGAGAGATTTCTAGTTAATCTTTACGAGGGCAAGTACCGAATGATCGGACTACACCTGACGGGAGAGGAGAGTCAAGATTCAGATATCCGGAGGCAAGCAGCCCAGTACTGCGTTAGAGCGGACCACCTTTTCCGAAGGCCAGTAGGGTCGGAAATGCCCTTACGAGTAGTCTGTGATCCTGAGGAGAGACAAATGATAGCTGCGGAACTTCACGACGGGGTAGTCGGAGGACACAGGGGAGTTAAAGGAACCTACGAAAAGATACGCCGGCTGTACTGGTGGGAAGGGAAGTATAAGGACGTCGAGACGTACTGTATGACATGCGAAGAGTGTCAGAAGAGAGCTCTTGTGAAATACAAAAAGCCACTTCATTCATCCTATCCGACCAGACCAGGAGAGAAGGTACACATCGATCTAGTGAAAATG